GGGATGTGGCGAACTGAAGGAACCAGTAAATCACGTTCCTCCATCCACCGAGTGAGCCCTGCGGTGTGACGCTGTAAATAGTGTTCTGGGGTCGGTTCTGTGGGCGGGAATGACTGCTGCACCCGCCTGCCCTGCTCCCCTTATGAGGCTGAAGCCCAAAAGGCACAGCGATCACGTTCTCAAAACACAAGTCAGGTCGTGTCTTGAGTCTACTTTTGGGGATAACCAAGGGACATTCTTGAAATCCGAACTGTCCCTGAATATCTTGTAGCAGTAAATGCCTGCAGAGGACACTTTGGGTTCCTGTCCTCCGAGTGAGGTTGGAGTGGGGCTTCCAGCACTGAACATGTGCCAGACGTCTTCTGTGGCGGTTAACCTTTGGAGCCCATTTCCACGGAGTAGTGAAAGCTATTTTGAGTCAGATGGATCTTGCTTCAACTCCAGCATGTGACAAGTTTTTTCTGAGCCTCAATACTGTTCTGTAAAAGGTGGTAATTATCTTAAGAGCTGTCATAAGAATAACAATCTAGAAAAGTAAGTAAAGTGCAGTGCCTGGCAGAGCAGCCTCTGGGTAGTGTTTTCCCCCTCATGGTTTTCACTGTAGTTTTCAATCTGTGAGTCCAGTCACAGGATCTACTGGAAATACCACTGAAGGGATGAAATAAAGCTGTCAGTGAGGTTGTAGCCCCACAGCCAAATCTATTGCTTGGCTACCTTTTTGTCGTTGTAATAGAACACTAAATACACTGAGGTGTAAACCCAGATATGAGCATTGGTGCTGTTTTCAACTGCTGGATGGTGAAGTCATAAACTAAATATATTTGTCATGTATAACTTTTAGTTTAAATGTAGCCCTTTCCTAGCCTGGGAATGAGAGGAAATTCAGCAGCTGTTTGAGGGAACACTAGGGCGAGGTGATCAGCAGCAGTGACACAGGCTCTGATAAAGGTGCTTGGCACCTAGAGTTGTGTCCAGGATCTATAACCAGCTACCTGTGTCAGTTTGGGCAAGTCATGTGCTTTAGTGTCCCAGTCTCTCAAATGGTATAATTGTACCTACTCCTAGGTAATAGTGCCTTTATATCTCAGTTAATACATGTAAAATACTTTAAAAATGTGTGGTACATATTAAGTTTTCAATACTTTTTTTGTGCAGAAGAGATGCAGCTGTGAAGGTCACTAGCGTTCCTCAATGTTTAAGAACAGCCACATAAAATTATGTAGCTAGTAATTTTAGTAGCTAGTAATTACTGGGGACTTATTTGGTGCCAGGCACTGTGCTAAAGCACCATTTATCGGCATTATATAACCTCCACAACTCCAACTGACATGCACTATCATCCTCATTTCACTAAAGAAGTAAACTAGGCTTTAAAAAGTAAAGGCACAGCCCTAGCTGGTTTGGCTCAGTGGCTAGAGTGTATGCCCTGCAGACTGAAGGGTCTCGGGTTCGATTCTGGCGAAGGGCATGTACCTTGGTTGCAGGCCAGTAGAGGCGGCAACCAGTTGATATCTCTCTCACATCGATGTTTCTCTCTCCCCCTTCCACTCTCTCTGAAAAGCAATGGAAAAAATATCCTGGGG